GCAGCCACTGATCAGTGAATTCTGACAGTAGAGAGTCTTGAGACCAGAATACAATGTCCCAGCAGGAGGAATTTTGGCATCCATAGCAAAGAGTTTTTTTTTTCCTTTCAGGATAAAATATTTACATAATTAAAAGATGACCATTGTAAGTACAGCTGTCAGCATTAAAAGGTCTGTCCCAACCCTCTACCTGCTACTTTGTCTAGACAGCTCAGACTGTTAAAGTGGTCGTAAAGTCCGTTTTGCCACTTTTACCTACAGGTAAGATTATAATAAAGCTTTCCTGTAGCTATGAAACACCACTGTACAGAGCAAGGAAGTATGACATGTTATTATGAAAAAAGCTTATAATAAAGCTTACCTTATAATAAGGCTTACCTGTAGGTAAAATCAATATCTCCTAAATGTGCACTGTTTTGGAGATATTCCAATGACAAGCAGCTTGTGACGTCACCAACGCATGCGCACTGTTCCCTCAATGGAGGGCATACTCGAGTATGCCCTCCATTGAGAGTGCTATGCCACGAATGTGGCATATATGTGGGAGTGACATCATCATGGCTCGACCATTCAAATGGCCGGAGCCTGCAAAACCAGAAGGAAAACCGGATGAAGGTGGAAGCCCTGTCAGTGGAAACAGCATGCTGCTGGAGGGCTTCGTTTTACAGAGAAGTCTTTCATAATGAGCTAGTGTGCAATAAATACTAGCATATTATGCCATTCCATTGCAAGGGGTGCCGGAATGTCTCCAGATCTACTACAGCTTTAAGCAAGCTGAAAAATAACAGACTTACTGGCTGGATCACCAGCTGACAAAAGAAAAGTACCTAAAAAAGAAAAGCAATGAAGCCATCACATATATGAAATGGTGGACTGCATTATACGTAATAAACGTTTGTTTTTGGATTTAATACCTCTAAAGGAAAATCTTGTGTAGAAGTTATACTAAGGTGTACCTTAAGCTTCAGCAATATATATATATTTTTTTTTGCTGGGGATTTGTAGAAATGTTCAATGACAAGGACTAATGTTGTTTATGTAGTACGTTTTTAGAGTTTCCAGTAAAGCAAGGGGCTATGTAGCCTGTAGCAACCAATCAGAAGTCTTTGTGGTTACTGTCTTTTGCCTTCCCTTGTTGCCCTTTTCATATTGTTACATCTTTATAAAGATGACATTTTCTGTTTTATGTTACATTGTTTGCCACTGAAATAAAGCCATGAAAGAATTCTGTTGTAGCAGAGGCAGAATTCTTTTTACAATCTTGTTTCCTGTGTATGTGCCATTGTATCTCTTTTGTGTTTGTTTTCTTTGCCTTTGTTTGTTGCAGTCATGTTGTGTTGTTTTTTTTTTCATTTTGCTATTCTGTATTTACTTTTTACTTTTTTTTTTTTTTCTTTTCTTTTCTATTAATCTGGATCATGTGCATGCCTGCTTGTCTCCCTGTTTTCTTGCTTTTTCTGTCGTCATGCTGTGTCGGATCTCCTTGTAAGCCATGTGAGGAGGTCCTGATCCGTCAGAACTCTATGGCATTCTGGGAGTGGGATGAGGGCTTCCCCGCTCCAGTTCGGCTTCCCAAAAAGTCCTTCTCTGAGTGCTGCCTGGTATGTTGGCTTTACTTACAGCTGCCTCTTGTGTTTCTGCACGCAGTCATCCCTGAACTGTCATTGTAGTCCCGCTGTATAGATGGGCACTCAAGGCTTTGTAGTCTAGAAGGCTTTGAACCTGCTGCTGCTTTTTTTTTTTTTTATCCCTCATGAAAGGATTCTGTTTTTAGTTTTTGTAAAGCCTTAGTCATAGAATCATTGCTTTGTTCACCTCTGGAAAACAATTACTGCAGATGTGTTGCATTTATTCTTGGCAGAATTTTTGTATGTACATGCTGTGATGTCTTTTAAATCGTGGGAGAATTCACACACAACAAATGTTAACCATAATAGCAAGGCTTGTCTCTTAACCATCACTGAGTGTGTTCACTTGACAGTTGCTGAAGCTGTACACTTTGGGCTATATCAGATTTGAACACAAGGAGCGGGCTGCATAGCCTACCGCACATCTATATGTATAGAAACTGGAGCAAGGAAAACTGATACAAATTGAGACCGTTACCCATCACAGACAATATGATTGAAGTTGGGAAAGGCTAGAACTCCTGTCAGATTTTTATTGCTCTGTGTGTCTTTGTTGGAGATTTGCCTTCATTTCATGTATGGTGAAACTATTGGCTACAGCCAGCCATACATGGATCGAAATTCGGCCAGTTCAGCAAGGACTAGCCAAATTTTGATCCATGTATGGGCAAGCTGGTTGTACAGAAGTCGATCTATCGATCAATTTCTGTGCAACCAACCTGTCTGCTTTTTTCCCGAAAGATCAGGGCCACTGGTTTGCGGGCAATATTGTATACAATAGGTCAGCGGGAGTCATTCCCCCATCTGCATCAAATGTGTGGGAGGGGGAATCAATTCATTATTTTTTTCATCAACCCACTGGTTAAACAAAAAAAAAAAGAATCATGTATGGCCAGCTTTGGGGAGGGTAAAACCTCAACAGAGCGCCAAATAGAAGAAAAAACCCAACAGGAGTTCTAATCCTTCCCAGCTCTATCCAAAGCTAAAATTATAATTTGTCTAAACTGACAATTTAATGATATAATTTCCTTTTTTTTTCCTGTTTTACTGTCAATTTAAAGATATAATTTCCCTTTTGATCCTGTTTTACTGTCAATTTAAAGATATCATTTCCCTTTTTATCCTGTTTTACTGTCAATTTAAAGATATATAATTTCCCTTTTTATCCTGTTTTACTGTCAATTTAATGATATCATTTCCCTTTTTTCCTGTTTACTGACAATTTAATGATATCATTTCCTCTTTTTCCAATTTAAATAGAATAAAGTATAACCCCTGGCAGTTTTATTTTTTTTTTTTACCATCTGTCTCCCATAGAAAGTAAGAATAAATTACTCCAAAGTGTTGAAAAAATCCTGGTTGTCACCAGAACTAGTGTCCCCATTAGAAGATTTGCCCTGTATTCCTCTTCTGGTGACAATGCAAATTTGCAGTTTTCTTTCACTTTTGGTGAACATGACAAATAGAGAATTGAATCTCCCTATCAGGGACACAGGCGGCAGTAATAAAATCTGAGAGCTGTTTCATCCCCTCTACACTCTATCCAAAACTTTAAAAAAAAGTTTTGTGTTTAGTTATACTTTAAGAAGAACCACTGACAATTCTTTCACAAACCTGGGCAATTCAATCTCCGCACATAATGGAAAAAAAAATCAGAGGCTAACTCCAATGAAAATTGGATATCAAATAGTCAGTAGATCCAGTAGGCGGCTAACATTATATGAAAATCTAGCATGGTTCTGTCCTCTCCCAAATGCGTTGTTGTACATAGATCCTAACAATGAACTTCTCTTTATTTGCTCCCCTTTGGTACATTAAATATACCATTGGAAGTGATTTTGTATATCCAATCACAAAAAAGAAAAACAAATACCTGTTGATTATGTCAGAAATTCAGAGTTGTGCTTTGTACAGGGCTTACTTTGTTTTAATAGCCCTCCCAGTCCTTATGTCCAGACTACAGATTAATTAGCTTTTATGTTGTAGATATGGGAGTGGTTAAGTACTTTGTCTAAAGAAAGCTGGGCAGGGCTGACACCACTCAATCTACAAAAATGCTGTGTGTGTTGTTAGCCCACAGCAAGACTTTAGCTGAGTACACACTGGTCAAAAAGTGTCCAGTTCAGTAGGAAGGGTAAAAAAAAGCTGCTTCAAAACCAGCATCTGATCAGTGCTAGCAGCCATTGGCTGCAAGCGCTGATCAGTGTATTCTGGAGGGAGAGTCCTCCCCCTGTCATAATACAAAAACACAAAGGGAGAGATCGCTTCATCAACATCACTTGTGGTGTTTTAATGATCTGTTTTTAACCTTGTTCAACCTGCTGGTTGAACTAAAAAAAACTGACCGTGTGTACCCAGCTTTAGGAGCTGAGTGCATTTCTGGCAGATCAATGGGTATTGTTTTGTACTTGTAGGGTCTTTAGAGGGTTAAAAACCCAGCATGTCTGTATGTACTGCAGCGATGTACAGCAAATGTTTATCTTTTATTTGCCCTGGCGTACACTTTAAAAAAATTAAATACCCCACTGACCAATAGCGGAGCTTAGAAGACAGAAGAGGCAGCATTAAAGTGATTCTAAAGGTTCATTTTTTTTTTTTTTTTTTTGTAAAATAACAAACATGTCAATACTTACTTGCTGTGTGTAGTGGTTTTGCACAGAGCAGCCTGGATCCTCCTCTTCTCGGGTCCCCTGTGGGTTCTCTTGGCTCCTCCTGTTTGTTGGTTGCCCCCACAACAAGCAGTTTGCTATTGGGGCACCTGCTGCTCTGTGTGTTCATTCACACACAGAGCCATGGTTTGGCCCTACCCCCCCCCCCCCTCCTCATTGGCTGACTGGCTGTGATTGACAGCAGCGGGAGCCAAGCTAATGAGGGGGCAGAGACCCTGGGCAGCTGAGGCTGTCATTCACATTGCTGGATCAGATGGGGCTCAGGTAAGGATTGGGGGAGCTGCTGCACACAGAAGGTTTTTTTTTTTACCTTCCTCCATAGAATGCAGAAAGATAAAAAAATCTTCAGCCTTTACAACCACTTTAAGTTTGTCTTACAGGAAAAGTAAAGATTTGCACATAACTTCAGCTGCTTGCATCTCTGGATCTGCTGATTATTTTAATATATAGAATTCATTGAAGTTAACCTTCACTTTTGTGTACTTACATCGGTTTACATACCCTACGTTTGTGGTAGGTTTAGTTTGTTTCCTTGCTCCTGTTTTCTGTGTCATTCCCCATGTGAGAAGCATTAGGGGGATTTTAAAAACAACCAGAATCTTTCAGAGAACAGAGCCTGGAAAGTGTTGGCGGGAGAAGATAGAAGGCAAACAAAGATTTTTTTTTTTTCTCTAATAAAGTGTTTAATCTTCTTTTCCTATAGAAATATATGCAAGAGGCGAGAAGCCTGGGCAAGACAGTGAGACAACCCAAACTCTCTGATCTCTCCCCTGCGGTCATAGCCCAGACCAACTGCAAGTTTGTTGAAGGGTTGCTGAAAGAATGCCGGATGAAGGTAAATTCTGCATTTTAGTTCATGTGATTGTGTGAACAATGCTGTCAACCTTTTAAGGCCTCGATAAACGTTCACTTTAAATTGGCTAAATGTATTTACCACCAAAAAAGGTGTAAAAGTCTTATAGGTCTTTGATTCTTTATGCAGCCTATATCCTGGCAGCATACTGCAGAGAAGGACCCTTGCTCTCTGTGGAAGCAGCGGTCTCTCTGCAGAAGGCTGCCATGCCCCCTGCTGAGCTATAGCTCTTTAATAAGCAGGAAGTATACGTTTTGCTGGTTGCTATAGGTCTAGCTCAGACGGGGACATATCTGCAGGGAGACCACTGCTTCAACACCCAGAACAAGTGTCCTTCTGTGTAGCAATCTGGCAGAGGACACTCTTACACTGGAAAAATTTGCTTTCACTTCCTGTTATGTCTCCTGGACAGGAAATGAAGGGAAGTCTCCCCAGCAGGACACAGACTGTACTTACACCGCAGTCCTTACTGCTGCACTGAATGGCACCAACATAATAACTACCATTGCCAATCAGTGCATTAATACTCTGAGCCCAGGCTGTGTTATGACGCCTCCCTCAGGGTATGGGTACATGACCGCATGGGCTCAAGAGAAGTGCATTGATCCTGGCCACCATTCAGCCCCAAAGATGGATAACACCTAGTGGTAGAAAGTTGTTACTACAGGGGGAAGCTGCAGAGTGAAGGTAAATATTGCAGCAATTTATGGTTATGAACTTTTTGGGGTTTTTTTCAGCTGGAGCTTAACTTTACAAATTTGCTTCACTGTAATTTAAATAAAATTGTCTATTATCACTGACCACACTAATGTATGCATAGACAAAACGGATGCTGGTGGAGAAGATGGGTCATGAGGCCGTTGAGTTGGGTCACGCTGATGCCAACATAACTGGATTAGAAGAAAACACTCTGATAGCCAGTCTGTGTGACCTTCTGGAGCGGATTTGGAGCCATGGCCTTCAGGTCAAACAGGTAATCTACATACATAAGTTGTTTGCCTTTTATGTTTACTTTTCTGATTGTGTGCCTGTTGCAGATATGCAGTACAGGAGGTCATTTTATAAACATTATACACTGATCAAAAAATTGAAGGAACACTTTTTAATTGGAGCATTGCATCAAGTCAGTTAAACTCCTGGGATATTGATCTGGTCAGTTAAGCAGCAGAGGGGATTGTAATCAGTTTCGGCTGCTTTGGTGTTAACAACAGGTGCTCTAGATGGGAACACTGAGACAAACCCTAAAACAGGAATGGTTTTACAGGTGGAGGCCACTGACATTTTTTTCCCTACTCATCTTTTCTGACTGTTTACTAGCTTTGCATTTGGCTAGGGTCAGTGTCACTACTGGTAGCATGAGTCGATACCTGGACCCTACAAAGGCTGCACAGGCAGTCCAACTCCTCCAGGATGGCACATCAATGCATCCCATTGCTAGAAAGTTTGCTGTGTCTCCCAGCACAGTCTCAACAGCATGGAGGAGATTCCAGGAGACAGTCACTCTAGGAGAGCTGGACAGGGCTGTAGAAGGTTCTTAACCCATCAGCAGGACCGGTATTTTTGCTCCTTTGTTGAAGGAGAAACAGGATAAGCACTGCCAGAGCCCTACAAAATGACCTCCAGCAGATCATTGGTGTGAATGTCTCTGACCAAATAATCAGAAACAGACTTCATGAAGGTGGCCTGAGGGCCCGACGTCCTCTAGTGGGCTTTGTGCTCACTGCCCAACACCATAGAACTCGATTGGCATTTGCCATTGAACACCAAAATTGGCAGGTCTGACACTGGTGCTCTGTGGTTTTCACAGATGAGAGCAGATTCACCCTGAGCACATGTCACAGACGTGAAAGGACCTGGAGAATGTTATGCTGCCTGTAACATCGTTCAGCATGACCGTTTTGGTGGTGGTTTAGTGATGGTCTAGGGAGGCATATCCATGGAAGGACGCACGGACCTCTACAGGCTGGACAATGGCATGGTACCAGGATGAAATCCTTGGACCCATTGTCAGACCCTACACTGGCGCAGTGGGTCCTGGTTTCCTCCTGGTGCAAGACAGCCCGGCCTCATGTAGCGAGAGTTGCAGGCAGTTCCTGGAGGATGAAGGAATTGATACCATTGAATGACCCCACGCTTAGCATGCCCCAACGTTGTCAGGCATGCATACAGCACATGGGGGCCATACAAACTACTGAGTACCATTTTGAGTTGCTGCAATGAAATTTCAGCAAAATGGACTAGCCTGCTGTATCATTTTTTCACTTTGATTTTCGGGGTGTCTTTGAATTCAGTCCTCTGTAGGTTGATAATTTTCATTTCATCAAACAATGGGGCATCCTTGCATTCCTAACACATTACCCAGTCCATATCAGTATAGATATCCAGCATGATATTTTTCCCCATTGAGATCTGATGTGTTTTCAAAGTGTTCCTTTCATTTTTTTTGAGCAGTGTGTTACACTTTGAGGGATAATTTATTGGGATATAAAGTAGTTATATATTTTTATATTCATTTCAGAGTATCTGGACTTTATTTATTCACATGCATTTGTTATAAATTTATTCAGGTGATTTCAGCTGCACTAATAGGGAGTAATTGTGATTAATTTTTTGGTGGATACAATTTTATTGTATATTTTTAAAATATCATACTTTGTGGCATCGTTGAAGCACAGGAGACCACAATAGCTCCTCCAATTTCACCTGGTGATATTCTGGTAGAGTTTGAATAGGAAAGGAAGCATCCGATTGGTTTGTCTGGTTAACCAAACACTTTGGTGGAGATTTACTAAACCTGGTGTAGCCGTGCATGGTAAAGCCAATCAGCTTCTAACTGCAGCTTGTTCAATTAAACTTTACCAATAAAATCTGGAAGCTGAATGGTTTCTGTGCCGAGTTGCACCAGATTTTGCTCCATGAAGTTTTTGTAAATACCCCCCTTTGCATTTCAAATACAGTAACTATACACTGGAAGTCGAAAGCTTAGCATCATACCTCATGCAAATACTTATGTTTATGGGACTCTGTATATCAAAGTTCATTTCTTGCACAACAAACATTTTATGTAGTTTAATTCATTTCCAAAGAAAGAAATGATTCAAGCAATACATGTAACACTCCCAGATTATGTGAATTGATAATCTAAGTCATACATAATCTCCAGGTCACCACAAATTGTTTAAACTTCAATATCACAGTCCATTTGATGAGCTCACATGATCATGTGCACCTTATCATTCTGCTATACAGGCGTACCTCGGTTTACGAATTTAATTCGTTCTGTGGGACTTTTCGTATTGCGAAAAATTAATAAACCGAAACGCTGTTTCGCATAGGAATGCATTGAAAACCAATTTAATCCATTCCGGAGGTCAGAAAAAAGTAAAAAAAAGTATTTTATCTGTTCAAAACTCTTTATAAAGTGCACTTTAAAGGCATAGTACTGTACAGGGACATGATTTTAAAAAAAATCGTAAATGCATTGAAAATCAATTAATCCATTCATATTGCAAAAAAAAAATGTGTAAATCGAGCCATTATTTTCAATGGATTTTCAATCGTAAATCTAAAATTACGTTAACCGAGGCGTTCGTAAACCGAGGTACGCCTATACTATATATTACTGTCCTTTGCCAACATGGGATTACAGTTTGCTGATGTCCTTGATAAAAGGTATAGATATCTGAAATAGACTTGTCATTGTGCAGTTATATTAAGGGTATGCCTGGGCAAAATTAAAAAACAGGCAGCACAGTGGCTAAATGGTTAGCACTTCCGCCTGGCAGTACTAGGGTCGTTGGTTTGAATCCCAACCACGGCACCACCTGCCTGGAGTTTGCATGTTCTCCCTGTGCCTGTGTGGTTTTCCTCCGGGTACTCCGGTTTCCTCCCACACTCCAAAGACATGTTGGTAGGTGAACTGGATCCTGTCTAAATTGGCCCTAGTATGTGTATGTATGAATGTAAGTTAGGGACCTTAGATTGTATGCCCCTTGAGGGTTAGGGACTGATGTGAATGTACAATATACAGTTGTGTTCAAAATAATAGCAGTCAGACATCACTAACCTGATCAATCACTGTTTTTGGTAGAAATTATATTTCTACATGGCAAATAATTTACTAGCAGGTGTAGTAGAGTAATAGAGATCCAACAGACCCAACAGTCATGACATGCATGCTGCTGATTCTGTGTAATTGAATCATTAATTGAAAGGGGCATGTTCAAAATAATAGCAGTGTGGAGTTCTATTAGTGAGGTCATTCATTCGTTGAAAAACAGGTGGCAATTATTGCCCTTATTTAAGGAAGGAAGGCAGCAAATGTTGTACATGCTGGTTACAGTGCATTTCTCTCTGAAATTCTGAGGAAAATGGGTTGTTCCAGACATTGTTCAGAAGAACAGCGTACCTTGATTAAAAAGTTGATTGGAGAGGGGAAAACATATAAAGAAGTGCAGAAAATGATAGGCTGCTCAGCTAAAATGATCGCAAATGCTTTAAAATGGCAACCAAAACCTGAAAGACATGGAAGAAAGCGAAAAACTACCATTCGAATGGATAGAAGAATAGCCAAAATGGCAAGGACTCAGCCAACAATCAGCTCCAGTAAGATCAAAGAAGGTCTAAAGTTACCTGTGAGTACTGTTACAATTAGAAGACATCTATGTGAAGCCAAGCTATCTGCAAGAAGCCCCCGCAAAGTCGCACTGTGGAAAAAAAGACGTGCTGAAGAGCTTACAATTTGCCAAAGAGCACATTGACTGGCCTAAAGCGAAATGGCGCAACATTTTGTGGACTGATGAAAGTAAGATTGTTCTTTTTGGGTCTAGTGGCCGGAGACAGTTTGTCAGACGACCCCCAAACACTAAATTCAAGCCACAGTACACTGTGAAGACAGTGAAGCATGGTTGCGCAAGCATCATGATATGGGGATGTTTCTCATACTACGGTGTTGGGCCTATTTATCGCATACCAGGGATCATGGATCAGTTTGAATACATCAGAATACTTGAAGAGGTCATACTGCCTTATGCTGAAGAGGAAACAAGACGACGACCCCAAACACACCAGTAAAAGTGCAACATCTTGGTTCCAGACCAACAAAATTGACGTTATGGAGTGACCAGCCCAATCCCCGGGTCTTAATCCAATAGAAAACTTGTGGGCTGACATCAAAAATGCAGTTTTTGAGGGAAAACCAAGAAATAGAGAAGAACTGTGGAGGTGCCAGAAGTTGGTTGACTCCATGCAACACAGATGTACAGCAGTTCTCAGAAACAGTGCTTATACAACTAAATATTCATTAGGTGATTCAAAGGAAAGCAAAATCTTCAAACATTTTCCAGTTTATATAGTGAATGTTTGAGTTTGTAAAGAAGAATACAAACACTGCTATTTTTTTGAACAGTCTAATATTCACGTTTCTTCAATTTTTTTTTTTAGCGGAACAACACAAATTTGATATATTTTTCTTCATGTTTTTATTTGGAATAGAATGTGTAGTGTTCCCAATGCATTTGTGTGTATGAAAATAAAAGCTATTAGAAGGATTTTGAGCTTTATTCACTTTTTTCAACACACTGCTATTTTTTTGAACACAACTGTATATGTAAAGCGCTGCATAAAATTGACAGCACTATATAAGTACCTGAAATAAATAAATAATAAAAACAAACGTATCTAGTACATCTCTGCATTCCATGCACATTTCCCCATGTCTTTAGGAACATTGCAAGTGCCAACAAATCCAGTGAGCTCCACTTTACTTTTGATTGACAACACACAGCAATGGGCTGACCAATAGCAGCTTTTGAATCCACCGACTGCTGTGTGCTGTCACTCAGTAGTAAAGTGGACCTGATGGGGAACTAGCCTGTCGCTCTTCCCCATCAGTCTCCACCCACTTCCCAAATATGGGCATTGCACCCATGGTGCAAATGCTTGCCTGAATTAGGCACAGGTATTTCTTAAGGGAACTACTGCCCAAAAATTCCAATTTCACTAACCGTGTACAGCGAAAGGGCTCTCAGGAGATGTAGTTCTGGGTGCATCCGTACATTAATAGCAACTATGCTCCAAGCAGCTGCCCCTGCAATAATTTACAAGCTTGGTGTCCCAGGGAATAATAAAAACTATTACTTGTTATAGGTAAAAGAAAAAAAGGTCCTGGGAGAGGAGGAGGTTTGGGTGTAAATGTGGCTCTTGCTTCAACATACACTTAAACCCTATAGTGACTGGCCTTAATGGACTTTTTAATCATCTTCAGCAATATCTGTGATAATTAGTATTGAACTGTTTTGGATAACTTGTTGAATTGACTGTGACATTGTTATACATGTGATCCACGGAGACTTGACAATTGCCTATGATTTGGATTATATGTGAGCAATACCTGTGCACCTGGATTTTTTTTTTAGATGGGCCTTATAGCTTGTATTTTTTGGTAAAGAGACATTGTGTGGCATTTATACAGTCAAACTATAAAGTGAGTGACCAGCTTTAAATAAAAGTATCCATTCAACACTGAGAAATTGCCTGATGTGTTTACTAGAAACTGCATTTATCTATTGTATTGTACATATTTCTAATCTTCTTCTTTGCAGGGTAAATCTGCTTTGTGGTCTCATCTGGTGCACTTCCAGGACCGGGAGGAGAGGCATGAGCGCAATTCTGAATCTCCTGGTACATGTGCCTTTTGTTACTTAGCCTGTGACCTGTTTTGCTTAAAAAGACCTTGTCGCCAAAAAAGTTCAACAGCAATCTTCTCGTATTATTATATGAGCATTTATCATATTTTATGCATGTTATTCAGCTGTAAAAGCCTCTCTTTTGTAGACATCCAAAATGCCCATGACTATTGCTGGGTGCTATTGTGAGGTTAGCAGCCGCAGAGGACTCAAAGCCGTCACTTACATGACACTCTGTATAGTATTCCCTTTCACTCCTCCCCAAGTAGAAACATAAAAGGTTATGCAGGGAGGTAAGGGGAGGGTCAGAGGAGCTGGGTCAGCACAGACAGTAATTAAACATTCCTACAAGAGGAGAGGGGTATGATTCTCCTGGAGTATTCAGGTTTTCTAGCAAGTTTGGAGCAACATTGCAAGAAAAAGACAAATTCTAGAAAGAAAAAAAACAGCACATATTCATTTAAAATGCTTGAGTTTTATGTGCAATATTTTAGTTCATAAAAGGGTCTCTTTAGGGAGCCCTTAGACATTGAATGATGTATTGGTTTAATTTTCATTTGCAATTTCAGTTACTGTGGCATCAGAAAGAAGAAAATCGGATACATGTGGTGGATTACCATCATTACGGGTGTCACTTATTCAGGACATGAGGTGTGTGAGTGACAGTGGGTTCATTAGTAGAAACATACTGTACTGCATAAAGCTGCATGGCAGGACTGTCATAGCATGCAGTGCAAACCAAATCACAGAGACAGAAGTGACATGGCATCCTGCTTACATTTTGAGAATGTTGCCACTATACTGTTATTACTTTGTTGTTCTTAAACCTGTTGGCATAAGGTTAGAAACACTGGGTTGATACAAAGCACAGTAATACAGAAAAATGTTCTTATAAAAGAAATCTTTCTACCTGTCACTTTTTTTTTATCTATTTTTTTTTCTCCCTCTTACTTTTCTTCTCGCTTTATTTTTCTGTTTTTCTCTGTTTTCTCTTCTCGTTCTGTTTCTCTTTTTTCCCTCAATTCTTCTTTCCTTTTTCTCTCTTGTTTCCTCCCCTGTCCCTTTCTGTGTCTCCTTTCCTCTGTCTTCTCCTCTTGCTTTCCCTCCTTTTCTTGTATTCCCCCACTTCTCTCTCTCTATCACCTCTCCTCTCTTTATGTCACTTCCCCTTCCTTTCATCTTAGACCCATACCTTCCATCTCAGTCCCCCTCCTTTCATCCCAGTCCCCCTCTCTGCTTTATTCCATATCTGTCCCCCTCCTTCCATCTCAGTTCCAAATCAGTCCCCCTCATTCCATCTCAGTTCCAAATCAGTCCCCCTCCTTCCATCTCAGTTCCAAATCAGTCCCCCTCCTTCCATCTCAGTTCCAAATCAGTCCCCCTCCTTCCATCTCAGTTCCAAATCAGTCCCCCTCCTTCCATCTCGGTTCCAAATCAGTCCCCCTCCTTCCATCTCGGTTCCAAATCAGTCCCCCTCCTTACATCTCAGTTCCATATCAGTCCCCCTCCTTACATCTCAGTTCCATATCAGTCCCCCTCCTTCCATCTCAGTTCCATATCAGTCCCCCTCCTTCCATCTTAGTCCCCTGCTTCCCCCTTCCATCTCAGTCCCCCCTCTTCCCTCCTTCCATCTCAGCCCCCCTCTTCCCCTCCTTCCATTCCCTCCCCTCTTTCCATCCCCTCCCCTCTTCCCCTCCTTCCATCTATCTCTCTCCTTCCCACCATCTCTCCCCCTATTTTACTTTTCTCCCCTTTTCTCTACTAAATCCCCCCCCCCTCCCTCCATTTCTTCCTTTCTCCCTTCTCTTCCCATTCTTCTCCCTACTCCCCTTCACCCCAAATCTCGTCCTTCTCCCCTATTTCTTCCCCCTATTCATTCACCTTCTCTCGCGCACTCTCTCTCTCTCTCTCTCCCGCTCTCTTTATCTCTCCCTCCCTACCCTCTCTCTCTCTCTCTCTCTCTCTCAACCCCACCCCCCCTCTCTCCATCTCAGTACCCCTCTTCCAGATCTTCCTTGCTGTATTGCACCAATAACAAAGCAGACCCTGCACTGTGCTGGCACTTGCCTTCTCTTCCATTCAGATACACAAGTCAAGAATGTGTAAACAAATTCACCTATCCTTCCAGTTGCTGATCAATGCTCAGTCGTGGATCATAAATATTTGAAAACATGTCATAATAAATTATTCAGAGTGCAGGCCAGGCCATTGTAATGGGAATGTCTAGTACACAAAATGACAAAAGCTATAGTAAGACAATGTGAATTCTTTAAAGGAAAAGTTGGGATCCTGTCAGCCCAGCGAGGTATTTTAAGAGAAAAATTATGAGCATTGAGTATAGAAGCTCATCAAGTCAGATAGAGCCCACCTAATTTTTGGGCTGGAGTCATGCGCAGTGTATTAGGATTTTGACTCCCAAGCCTTTTCATTTATTGAATTTCAATGCTTTCAATGAAGGGGCTACAGCCACACATGGGTATTCCCTATGGCAGTCTCCTCTTCCAGACTGAATTCCATCCATTCAAGGAATTTTATCAGACCACTGCTTTCATCTGTGCTAAGGGCTCTGCAGAGGAGTACTGAGGCAGGGTGCTGGGATGGTTTCAGGATGTACAGCCCCTTCTACCAGCCATCATCTGCCTGCATTGCATAGATAAGAACAGATACCCAATTATGACATCACTAGGTCTTAAATAAGGTATGGGCTACATGAACATTGGGGAAATCTTACCCCCTAGTAAGCCCTCCAAAGTCCACGCTACCTTCTCATCGCTTTTTTTAACATTGCTGCCATCTTCTCCCAGTCTTCTTCAGGTCCAGAGTTTTCTGACTTCAGCCATTGGTTCTCCATGGAAGACATAATTCATTGCCTAGCCACTCACTTTTGTACAATCCTAATACACTGCGCATGCTCTGGAGTCGGTGTACACTTTTTTTTTTTTAGGAAATTGTTAGTGGTAAGAGAGAGAGGTTTTATGGCAAAAGAAAAATACAAAATCTATCTTGCCATAAACTCTTGAGGCCTAATGTGTTTTTTTTTTTCCCCACTGTAGAGTTTTTGGATTTTTTTCCCATACAAAGTAGTTTTGACTCTTTAGGCTATTTGTATGGTTGAAAGACTATATAGACTTGTAGACTGAAGCAGCCAGCACCCTCATCCGTTAATTTAAAATGTTAATTCCTTAATTAGCAATTTCAGTCTTGCACGGTAGAGCCTCCTATTAACGCGAAGTGGTCCCTTGGCCCCCCACATCAAAACCTGCAAATAATTACATTAGGACGGGAGCTGGTGAATATTTTGTAGTTTATTTAGAAAGAATTCAGTTGAGCATCCATGTTTTCTTCTAAGGAGAAACCCACAGAGGAACCATCAAAATGTGAGAGTATGAAATATTGGGGAAATAAACCTTGAAAAACTGCCAGCAAAGGCTTGAAAATTTTAATAGCATGCAGTTGTATCAAACGTGGTGGGATGAATAAGGCACAGTGTGAGCTGACTGATCTAAAATTCTGGGTGATAGCTGTCAGCAAAGTTCACCCTTTACAGTTTAAAAGGTCAGTCCACCCCCAAGCTTTATACTTCAGTCTGGGTTGGGGGCTGAAAAACATCCTTTAAAGGGAATGTGTAGTAGTTATCTATCCATGTCCAAGTCAGTACTAAAAAAAAAAACACAAAAAAAAATGTGTTTAGTTGTGTAAATAGTATGCATAAATATTTAGTATTTTCATAGAAAGCCAATAGGTTGTGATTTGTAGCACCCATAATGCTTAGAGAATCTTGTATATTAAAGTGTAATGGGCAAAGGTAACCTCTATCACTACCATTAATACAACAGTTTTTGTTTTTCCAAGTTCCCCCGGTAATATATTTTTCGGGAGCATTCACACAGGTGAATGCACCCTGTCTGGGATCAGCTGAGAGAAACACAGTGGGGGTTCCCACATTTAGCTGTAAGTAGACAACCCATTGAAAGCAACTGGAGGCTTCTGGCTCTTGCAGCAAATTGCACCTACTTGCAGGTAATCATTCAAGCAATGATCACATTCAAGTAATTGGCCCTGGATGCAGACTGCTTGTGTTCAGGGCCAATCATTTGCGTATAATCGCTGCTTTTCGCTTGCAAATGCACCCTTATACCCTGTTGATCCTCCCAATAGATGCATTATCTTTCCTTTTCCTGTAACATACCAAGTTATAAGTACAAAAAATGGCTACTGCCCCAGACTTGAACTGGCCTTCACAGCAAATTAGCATGCTATATACAGTATAATCAGGGATGATGGCAACTGCACCCTCAGTCATGAAGAATTTCTTTTGTGTACAAACAATCCATTAAGGGTTTATATGTACTTTCATACAATGAATAAAACAAAGTAAAGTAAAATGTAACTGACTTGATACATTTTCTACTAATGCCAGAAAAATATTTCTTGTTATCCTTTTCCAGACATATCCAGAACTTGAGTGTAATTAAGACCGATGTGGGACGAGCTCGAGGCTGGATCCGGCTGTCCTTGGAGAAGAAATTGCTGTCTCAGCACCTCAAACAGCTGCTGACCAATCAGCCGCTTACTAAGTGAGTGTCACTGTCATGGGGGATATGCTCAGTGCACTGAGGAAAAGGGGTTCCTGTCTATAGCAACTAATCAAGTCCTGCTATTTTTTATAGTCAGATAATTGTAGCACTCTGGTATAACACTGTCACTGGGGTATAACAAACGTTTTGTACATTAATGTTGGAAATATGCTTGGCACGTTCTCGTCAGATGTGACGCAAGTTTGAGCATCAGCAATAATCTGATGAGGGATCAATAGTGACTGTTTCGTAGTGCTGACAGTAAAACTGGCATGTGCAATTTTTCACCGAGCCAGAAAATTGCTGTCATTACAGGAAAAATCACTTGGAAAAGTGATGATCACCCAAGAGAAGGGAACAATCCATTCTACTGCTAGAGCAAAATGTTTTAATTGGAGGAATATAGTGGTCTGTACAAGAACTTGGTCAAAGGAAATCAGACAATGGCAGATCCTAAATCCCATTTGAACTTTCAGTTTGGTGTAAATCAGCGAGACTGTATAACCATACATATTATGGTGAGAAGGGACTAAAGCAGGGGTATCAAACTGGCAGCCCTCCAGCTTTTGCGAAACTACTAGTCCCATCATGCCTCTGTCTTTGGGAGTCATGCTTGTAACTGTCAATCTTGCGTTGCCTCATGGGACTTGTAGTTTTGCAACAGCTGAAGGGCTGCCAGTTTGACACCCGTGGGCTAAAGGCATCAAAAAGGCCTCCAACCAAATCGGGCCATAGCATAGTAAGGCCGCCTTAGTACAAAAGGTATTCACATGTCTCATCTATGACATATCCTAAAAAATGAGGATTATTCCACATATTGGGACAGTGGGCAGTGCCTTGCAAATCATACCTTTTATGCCCCATCAGCCAGATGCAGATCCGGAACCACTGGTGTATAGTGCACATATAGCCTACTATTCAAATATAGCCATTTATTCTAAACTGCTTACAGCTATTACAGCCTCTTGGCCATCATCGATGCAGTGTACTAGTTTTTTTTTTTTTTAATTCCTTTATTAATGTTGCTACATTACATCCAGGGACTTGTTGCCTGTACATGTTCCAATAGTAT